TTAATAAAGAAGTCCTGTGGTATCTGGCTCCAAGACATTAATAAAGAAGTCCTGTGGTATCTGGCTCCAAGACATTAATAAAGAAGTCATGTGGTATCTTGCACCAAGACATTAGTAAAGAAGTCCTGTGGTATCTGGCACCAAGACATTAGTAAAGAAGTCCTGCGGTACCTGGCACCAAGACGTTAATAAAAAAAGTCCTGTGGTATCTGGCACCAAGACATTAGTAAAGAAGTCCTGTGCTATCTGGCACCAATACATTAGTAAAGAAGTCCTGTGGTATCTGGCACCAAGACATTAGTAAAGAAGTCCTGTGGTATCTGGCACCATGACATTAATAAAGAAGTCCTGTGGTATCTGGCACCAAGACATTAGTAAAGAAGTCCTGTGCTATCTGGCACCAATACATTAGTAAAGAAGTCCTGTGGTATCTGGCACCAAGACATTAGTAAAGAAGTCCTGTGGTATCTGGCACCATGACATTAATAAAGAAGTCCTGTGGTATCTGGCACCAAGACATTAGTTGCAGGTCTTTCATGTTGAATAGGTTGTGAGGTGGATCAGACTTGTTGGTCCGGCAGATCCCACAGATGCTCAATCTGCTTGAGATCTAGGCAATATTGAGGCCAGAGCAACACATAGTCTGGATACCTGTATCTGTCAGTTGTGTTGGAACAAAGATTACATTTGCCTGTTTCCAAATGTGAATAAATACAACTTTCCAGGATGTATTCTGTATTTAGCTAGCTTACAATTAGTCTAATTGCACATTTTGCTGTATTGCTTGTGTGCTGTAGTTGTTTGCTAGCTCGTTCGGCCCAGACACCGCATCATTAAAATAACTATTGTAATGCATTCGTATTTATATGCATCCATGTTAAGCGCCACATATCTGTTGAATGACTGCTGTAGGAGGCTCTTCATGGAGATCGCAGTGTCTGGGTTTGACCTTAAGGGGACCAATCAACTTTAATGATCATCCAGGTGCTTCCGAATAGTTTTTTAGCAAACCCGAGATAACAATTGTCACAATATGGTTCCCGTATGTGTCGTCTTATTGGGAATGACATGTCGACGCTGTTGTCGGCTGGCCCTCCGTGTTGGTGAGGAAACTGCGGGATTGTGGGTTATTCATGCTCTCACAGCCTCTGGCTCTGTGTTTGGAGCCGGTACTAATGACAGGGTCCGTCCACGTGAAATGCAATTACACTCCCGTGTATTTTGTCAGACCGGGTAGGAGAATGGAATGTGATTATTATTAGGTTGAGGTTCTTTGTTGCGGTGAGATACCGCGCCGTCGGACTGAGACGCTGAGTGCAGAACCAGCGTATGTGAAGCGCGGCGTTGGGGGCCCTTGGCACGCATGTCGTCCCTCGCTCCGGCCTTTTGTCTTCAACAACTAAACCCCCGGACCAGCCACCCACCACCCCCCACTCCGTCGGCCCAGGCTTCTTTGTGCCCTATGAATACTCATTGTTAATGGTAAAATCGGCAGAAGATTAATTTCAGAGAGAGCATGAGAGAGGAAAAAGGGCTAAAGGGATTTTGTCTTTTAAAACGTATTAATGCCCTTGCGCTGTCTGTCAGCAGAAATAGGTGATAAGTAATATTAGCAGACGGTGGATTTTTCCCCTCACCGCGTTTTACAATTAAAAGGTTCCATTTATTAGGAGCCTCCCAGCTTTGCCTCTAATACTGTTTCACACCGAATACTGTCTATGATTTCACAGCTGTTTTTCCATGTGAAATTACTGGATTCAGCGCAATGGATGTGTTTTGGCTCTGCGTATCAGATGTTGTCAAATAAATGCCCTTCCCCGTCTCTTTCTCATGTTCCTTCCGTGTTAAGTGGTTGTAAAGTTATTTTACTGCTACATTAGCATGTAGTAAATCCAATGCCTTTTTGAATCTACGACAAGGTTAACTGCAGCCATTGCTCCTGTTCTCATTCTAGCCAATATTTTCCCAAGCCACTTCCTCATCTCAACACTAGATGGCAGTAGAAGTGTTCTCAGTCCCATCTCTGGGCCCGTGTGCTGAGTGTAGACCTACTTGAGACACATGTTATGATATGACTCCCATGTTAAGGATCACAAGGAGGTCTGTAAAGCCGGCTAACCCATGTACCGCCATAACTGTGTGTGTGTGTGTGTTTGTTATAGTGGCATAGGAAAGCATGGTGGTGGCACACACTAGTCCAGTGGAAGATGGATGGGGGGTTTGTCGTAGCAAGCTGGTGCGTGAGGCAACAGATGTTCAGTTTGATTGGAAATCCTTACCTTTCTCTTTATGTTACTTGAATTTGCTCCGACGTCAGGCTCTCATCGCACAAACCTGCGTCCTGCATTCCACATCAATTTATTGGATTTCCTAGAAATGGCGACATCTGTGTACTGAGCCGATATAGAAACAGATCTAATCTAGTTAGGCATATGGCCCACGTGCTTCATTACCACGGATCAGATGCCTACTACTATATTGGGCATTATTGTTAGCATTTCTGCTCTTGGCTTAGTTTCACACAAAAGCCTTGTTAGAAGCCGAAGCAAATGGGTGTTCTGTGTAGAGCAGTGACAGCTTGCACTAGTTTCCAATAGTCTCGAACTGTACCATTATAGGGTTAATAGGAAATCGATCAGACCAGAATGAGGACACATCTATGGGTAGAAGTCCCAGGGGACATGTGGCTGTCCTCTCCTAGTGCTGACCTGTCAGTGTGACAGATTGAGGGTCCCTGGATTCTTCAGTGAGACGCCAAGGAGCTACTAGTTATCATGTCCTCAGATTCCCTGTAGTTTGATGGCCAGCCAGGCAGCCCTGTAGAAAACAATCAGTACAATTCAGTTCAAACACAACTTGCAACTCGGCTACCCACTGTGGATTGTACAGAAGTCTGAAGTTAGGTAGTGGATTTTACCCCTTTATTTCTGGGTATTGTCTTGTGTGATATCTGGTACTGTACTTTGTCTCTACTCTCTTTTGTCACTTCTAGCTTCTGTCACTCTCCCACCTTCTGTCACTCTACCACCTTCTGTCACTCTACCATCTTCACCATGTTCTCTCACTCTAACATGTTCTGTCACTCTCCCACTTTCTCTCACTCTACCATCTTCTGTCGCTCTAAAATGTTCTCTCACTCTACCACATTCTCTCACTCTACCACGTTCTCACACTCTAACATGTTCTCTCACTCTAACATGTTCTCTCACTCTAACATGTTCTCTCACTCTTCCATGTTCTCTCACTCTACCATGTTCTCTCACTCTACCATGTTCTCTCACTCTACCACGTTCACTCACTCTACCACGTTCACTCACTCTACCACGTTCACTCACTCTACCGCGTTCTCTCACTCTACCATGTTCTCTCACTCTACCGTGTTCTCTCACTCTACCGCATTCTTTCACTCTATCATGTTCTCTCACTCTACCATGTTCTCTCACTCTACCATGTTCTCTCACTCTACCATGTTCTCTCACTCTACCACGTTCTCTCACTCTACCACATTCTCTCACTCTACCATGTTCTCTCACTCTTCCATCTTCTGTCGCTCTATCGTGTTTTCTCACTCTACCATGTTCTCTCACTCTACCATGTTCTCTCACTCTACCACGTTCACTCACTCTACCACGTTCACTCACTCTACCACGTTCACTCACTCTACCGCGTTCTCTCACTCTACCATGTTCTCTCACTCTACCGTGTTCTCTCACTCTACCGCATTCTTTCACTCTATCATGTTCTCTCACTCTACCATGTTCTCTCACTTTACCATGTTCTCTCACTCTACCATGTTCTCTCACTCTACCACGTTCTCTCACTCTACCACATTCTCTCACTCTACCATGTTCTCTCACTCTTCCATCTTCTGTCGCTCTATCGTGTTTTCTCACTCTACCATGTTCTCTCACTCTACCATGTTCTCTCACTCTACCATGTTCTCTCACTCTACCACATTCTCTCACTCTACCACGTTCTCTCACTCTACCACGTTCTCTCACTCTACCACGTTCTCTCACTCTACCACGTTCTCTCACTCTACAACGTTCTCTCACTTTACCATGTTCTCTCACTTTACCACGTTCTCTCACTCTACCACGTTCTCTCACTTTACCATGTTCTCTCACTCTACCATGTTTTCTCACTTTACCATGTTCTGTCATGTTTTGTCTTCCACTACCCTCTCTTCCCTCCCTGTCACTCCCTTCTTTCTGTACTTTCTCTTTGCTCTGTTCTGTCTGTGGTTTATCTGCGAGCTAGCCTAGTAGTAGCACCAGAAATCAGTCAGTTCAGAGAGTGAACGGCAGAGTGAATGGCAGAGTGAACGGCAGAGTGAACGGCAGAGTGAACAGCTAAACCAGCATTATCAGTAATTGTAATCTCAGAGCTGACATCTTTCTGCATGTAAAGCTATTACGGTTCTGCTATCTGCTGCTCAGAAGTGCCTGGAATGCCTGTAATTGCAGACGAGATGATAGCAGGTGGAGATGAGAGAGACAGAGATTATATCCCTCACACACTAAATGGGCGTGCCACAGTGAGCATCACACATCCTTTCCTCGGTGTGTTCCTCTAAGAGGTGTGCAGGAGAAATTAGGCAAAGTCAATCCTGTATTGGAATAAAGTTAAAAAGTAACTGCCTATTCAAGTTTTGTTTAGTCTTTCCGAAATATATGATTCACTTTGGTATAGGCTACCATTGTGGTAAAAACACAAACCTTACCTCAAACTTGCACTGCAAACAAGATTTACAAGACCCTGGAAAAATATTTTAAAAAGATCAAGGTAATATGTTACAATGACAGCATTGTGATTAATTAGGAAGGAATAGGAATATACCAATCTTCAACTGAAATGTGTCCTCTGCATTTTACCCAACCCCGAGGTGCAGGGGGCAGCCCTAATCAGTTACCTGATTTGACTTCCACATCAGGGTTTGGGTTAACTGTCTTGCTCGAGGACAGAACGACTACGTTTTTTTTCACCTTGATGTTGTGGGGATTAGAACCATGGATTAGAACCATGGACCTTCCAGACCCAAACCCTATTCCCTAACCATTAGGCCGCCCCCAATTAACATGGTTGGGTTCAAGCTTCCCAGGCTTCTACCCAGTATTTAGGGCTTGGTTTGACCCTGTCCATATTATGGCTGTGTTCAATCCTCCCCTGCTTCTACCCAGTATTTAGGGCTTGGTTTGACCCTGTCCATATTATGGCTGTGTTCAATCCTCCCCTGCTTCTACCCAGTATTTAGGGCTTGGTTTGACCCTGTCCATATTATGGCTGTTTTCAATCCTCCCCTGCTTCTACCCAGTATTTAGGGCTTGGTTTGACCCTGTCCATATTATGGCTGTGTTCAAGCCTTCCCTGCTTCTACCCAGTATTTAGGGCTTGGTTTGACCCCGTCCATATTATGGTTGTGTTCATGCCACACGTAAGAGACTATACGTTTTACAGTAACTAATTTAGACTATAATTAAGCAGTCGATTTTGAGATGGAGAAATGGCAACAGGGATCATAAACGAAGCATGTGTTACGTTTTTTCAGAATATTTTTGCTTGTTGGGAAGCTTGGCTAATTTACTTTTTGTTAAACGACTTGGGAAAATAAAGATCCACAAGAGACAGCACATCACCATCAGGATTAAAATACAGCCTAGCTTCAGGGCCTTTCTAGACGTAATAAAATGTTGAAAGTGGACCCGCAACCAATCCAAATGGAATTAATGGAATGTAACATTAAAATAGCATGGCTTATTGTACCATTATCCAAATTACATTTGCACTGAAGTTTATACTTACAGCTTAGAGTGGAATTGTCCTCGATGTACAGTAAAGCAGTTGTTAATTGCATCTGGGGTGTTGTGGGCTCGTGAAGATGGGACTAGATTAATGGGGAGCTCCTCACATCAATACTGTTATTTCATAACCTGGCCTCTTCTCTGTCTGTAAGCTAATTCTCTATGTTGTAGGTTTATATTGAATATTGTGGTAGGCTAGCTAACATATAGACGATCCTGTTATCAACCCACCAGACACATTGGAACTACCTTGAACTCCTAGCTGACAGGTGTGCAATGAAACGTCAGTATCTGCCCTGGTTTGAATATCAGCAATCCTACCACATCAGCGCATTATTTATTAAACGCTAGATGCAACTTGATTTTACCTAAATGCTCTTAAGAATTTGACCTGGTTGACTGATACTAGCAGCAGAGACTGGTGCGTCTTCCAAAAACCTTCGACCCAAAACCAACCGTTCTTTAGTCAGGAGACAGGAGCGTCTTGCAAAAACCTTCGACCCAAAACCAACCGTTCTTTAGTCAGGAGACAGGAGCGTCTTGCAAAAACCTTCGACCCAAAACCAACCGTTCTATAGTCTTGAGACGCGAACTTGTAGCAACAACCTTCGACCCAAAACCAACCGTTCTTTAGCCAGGAGACGGGGGCTTCTAGCAACAACCTTAGTCCAAAAAACAACCATTCTATAGTCTTGAGACGGGAACTTCTAGCAACAACCTTCGACCCAAAACCAACCGTTCTTTAGTCAGGAAATGGGAACTTCTAGCAACAACCTTCAACCTAAAACCAACCATTCTTTAGTCAGGAGAATGTCTTTTACTGTATGGGTGTTTATGTCATATACTGTATTGGTGTTTATGTCTTATACTGTATGGGTGTTTATGTCTTATAATGTATGGGTGTTTATGTCTTATACTGTATGGGTGTTTGTATCTTATACTGTATGGGTGTTTATGTCTTATACTGTATGGGTGTTTATGTCTTATACTGTATGGGTGTTTATGTCTTATACTGTATGGGTGTTTATGTCTTATACTGTATGGGTGTTTATGTCTTATACTGTATGGGTGTTTGTGTCTTATACTGTATGGGTGTTTATGTTTTATACTGTATACGTGTTTATGTCTTATACTGTATACGTGCGTGTTTATGTTTTATACTGTATGCGTGTTTATGTCTTATACTGTATGGGTGTTTATGTCTTATACTGTATGGGTGTTTATGTCTTATACTGTGTGGGTGTTTATGTCTTATACTGTATGGGTGTTTATGTCTTATACTGTATGGGTGTTTATCTTATACTGTATGGGTGTTTATGTCTTATACTGTATGGGTGTTTATGTCTTCTACTGTATGTCTTATACTGTATGGGTGTTTATGTTTTATACTGTATGGGTGTTTATGTCTTATACTGTATGGGTGTTTATGTCTTATACTGTATGGGTGTTTATGTCTTATACTGTATGGGTGTTTATGTCTTATACTGTATGGGTGTTTATGTCTTATACTGTATGGGTGTTTATGTCTTATACTGTATGGGTGTTTATGTCTTATACTGTATGGGTGTTTATGTCTTATACTGTATGTCTTATACTGTATGGGTGTTTATGTCTTATACTGTATGGGTGTTTATGTCTTATACTGTATGGGTGTTTATGTCTTATACTGTATGGGTGTTTATGTCTTATACTGTACGGGTGTTTATGTCTTATACTGTACGGGTGTTTATGTCTTATACTGTATGGGTGTTTATGTCTTATACTGTATGTCTTATACTGTATGTGTGTTTATGTCTTATACTGTATGGGTGTTTATGTCTTATACTGTACGGGTGTTTATGTCTTATACTGTACGGGTGTTTATGTCTTATACTGTATGGGTGTTTATGTCTTATACTGTATGTGTGTTTATGTCTTATACTGTATGGGTGTTTATGTCTTATACTGTATGGGTGTTTATGTCTGACTTATATTTTATTGGGTGTTTATGTCTTATACTGTATGGGTGTTTATGTCTTATACTGTATGGGTGTTTATGTCTTATACTGTATGGGTGTTTATGTCTTATACTGTATGGGTGTTTATGTCTGACTTATATTTTATGGGTGTTTATGTCTTATACTGTATGGGTGTTTATGTCTTATACTGTATGTCTTATACTGTATGGGTGTTTATGTCTTATACTGAATGGGTGTTTTGATAGTTCTTCTTTTTGCTGCCAGGGCAGCGGGTTTTCCATTAAACAAGAAGAACTTGGTTTTGGACCAAGAGCAATACAGTAAATAATAGTGGAGATTGGAGGAGAGGAAACCCAGTGGCCCATATTCTCCTCCTCCCCAGACTGCTCTCACTCTGGCTAATCAGTTTGATTATTAACTGCTAATTTATTGCATAGCTGGAAGCTATGTGTTAAATAAATGCATCAGAGTAAATAAACAGGACGGCATCAGATGGAGATAGATTGCAGGCGGGACTCAGACTGCTGTATTCTGGTGGCAATTGAGGACAGCACAACCGATCCAGAGAGAACGGACTCGGATGTGGATTAACCGACATGGGCATGGTTGTACAGGGATGGAGTGTGTGAGTGTGTGAGTGTGTGAGTGTGTGAGTGTGTGAGTGTGTGTGTGTGTGAGAGAGTGAGAGAGTGTGAGAGAGTGAGAGAGAGTCTGAGAGAGTGTGAGAGAGTGTGTGAGAGAGTGTGAGAGTGTGTGAGAGAGTGTGAGAGTGTGTGAGAGTGTGTGAGAGAGTGTGTGAGAGAGTGTGAGAGAGTGTGTGAGAGAGTGTGAGAGAGAGTGTGACTTTTAGAGGGATTCCTCAGATAGGGTTCACAACCACATGTGCGCGTACCTGATTTAAAAGCAGAGCTGTGAGATAACTGCTTGGTTTATAGACACTTTTGGTTCATGAAACCATGGTTATGGCAGTAACCTCCAGTAGCCACTAGATGTGATGGTAATGAACAGAACCATTTCTGGTTTCTTCTTGCTAATCAGTCTTTATTTTCTGAATGGTATAAGCTATACAATATGACACCATCACTGAATCATATGACTTTTAGGCCGTTCTGGAACAACCACAAGCAGTTTATTACACACTGTACAAGACTAGTAACTTAATAAGATTGAGAAAAAGTAACTATCCATAGTGATGTTCATTTCTACACACAAGATCACACGCAAATATTGCCTAAGCTTCCCAAATGATTTGGTCAATTTTAACCGTACTACTTCAGATTTTTATACAGTTAAAACAATGTCTGATTGATTTGGTCTCTCTCATCTTCAACCCCTTCTCCGGGGTCGGGTCGATTTGGTATGGAATAATATAACTTTTACATAGGATTTTCTTTTTCAATACAGAGAGTTTATATCACGTGGATGTAAAAGAGACTGAGAACGAAGACAATTGTTGTAATGGAAAATTAAGGAACAGACTGTATATCTAGCCCTGATATCCCATGTACATTGTCTCTTTGGTTCTTTAGTTTCTGTGTAGGCCCTTAGTTCTGCTATTGGGTTTTCTCTCATTATCTTAGGGCCTACACAGAACCTAAAGAACCAAAGAGAATGAGAGAAAACCTAATAGCAGAACTAAGGGCCTACACAGAACCTAAAGAACCATAGTTCTGCTATTAGGTTTTCTCTAATTATCTTTGGTTCTTTAGGCTCTGTGTAGGCCCTTAGTTCTGCTATTAGGTTTTCTCTCATGCTCTTTGGTTCTTTATGTTCTGTGTAGGCCCTTAGTTCTGCTATTAGGTTTTCTTTCATTCTCTTTGGTTCTTTAGTTTCTGTGTAGGCCCTTAGTTCTGCTATTAAGTTTTCTCTCATTCTCTTTGGTTCTTTAGGTTCTGTGTAGGCCCTTAGTTCTGTTATAGGTTTTCTTTCATTCTCTTTGGTTCTTTAGGTTCTGTGTAGGCCCTTAGTTCTGCTATTAGGTTTTCTCTCATTCTCTTTGGTTCTTTTGGTTCTACGTAGGCCCTTAGTTCTGCTATTAGGTTTTCTCTCATTCTCTTTGGTTCTTTTGGTTCTACGTAGGCCCTTAGTTCTGCTATTAGGGTTTCTCTCATTCTCTAGGTCTGGTTTTCAGTTCCAGTACCACCACAAGGTTTAGGCCGTGGCCCTTTTCCCCTGGTTCCATCTCATCCGGGTTGTTTACTGAGTTACAGCCCAACAGATAACCAGGCGTGGACAGACTTATTTATGAGGAAACCAGCGCTCGGCAAGCTTCATTTCAGGACTTATCTGTGTAATTCATGCTTGGCTGAGTATT